TGCTCTTGTCTACCATCCTCAAACCAATGGGCAAGTAGAGTTGGCGAATCGAGAACTGAAGAAAATTCTTGAGAAGACAGTGGGGCGTTCGAGGAAAGATTGGTCCATGAAATTGGATGATGCTCTCTGGGCTTATAGGACAGCTTTTAAGACACCCTTGGGTATGTCTCCATATCGTTTGGTGTTTGGGAAATCATGTCATCTACCGGTGGAGTTAGAGCATCGAGCTTATTGGGCTGTGAAAGAGTTGAATATGAGTTTGAAAGCTGCTGGAGAGAAGAGACTACTACAATTGAGTGAGTTGGAAGAGTTTAGACTGGATGCTTATGAGAGTGCAAAGCTTTATAAAGAGAAAACTAAATTTTGGCATGATAAGCATATTCAGAAGAGGGAATTTGAAGTAGGTCAGAAGGTTTTACTTTTTAACTCGCGACTGAAGCTGTTTCCTGGAAAGCTCCTTTCAAGGTGGTCTGGACCATTTACGGTTACTAAGGTGTTTCCATATGGTGCTGTTGAGATTTATGATGATGCACATGGTTCTTTCAAGGTTAACGGGCAGCGACTGAAGTTATACTTTGCTGGAGAGAGGATACATCAAGGAGTTCTGTACTCTTTGGGTGAACCTTCACTTGATTGATCAGCCAAATAGTCCGGCTCATGACTTTAAAGAAGCGCTTATTGGGAGGCAACCCAATTCTTTATTTTTCTTTATTTTTCTTTTTCTTTCATTAATTAGTTGATGGTTAAGTTTTTTGTTCCTGATTATCTCGAGATCTTTGATCTCTGGATTTTCGTGGTTTTTCTTAATCATCTGTTTTTAGGTTTGTTTTTCTAATTTACTTTAGTTTGCAATTAGGTTTGTTGGAAGGGTGAAACTCTGGTGTCCAGTGGTACTGAAAATGAAACATCCAAAATTCTGAAGAAGTTGGCCGTGTGCTTGGATAGCAGTTGCAACAGTTTATTCAACAATTCCGGTTCAAGGTTGTGTCCTCCGCTTCACATTCCAAGGTTGTGTCTTTTCTTTTCATTCTTTTTGTTTATGTCTTTTCTTTTCTTTTCACTTGGTTGTCTTGTCTTTTGTATTTTATGTATTGAGGGCAATGTATGCTTTAAGTGTGGGGGAGAGGAATATTTGTGTTTTTTATTGTGTTTTGTGTTTTAAAAAAAAAACCCCATAAAAATTGAAAAATTTGAAAAATCCAAAAAGGCCTATGATGAAGATGGTTTAATTATCTATAACATGTAAGAGTTAGACTATTTTAAATTGTATTGCTTAACTTGTGTAATTCAATATGTTGCTTTGAATACCCTGCTTTATATGCACTTAGTCGTGACTGTGGGATAAGCCTAAAGTAAGATATAGTTGCATAAGTTTGATGTAGATATGCCATGACAGTTGTGTTTGATTCACTCATACTTATATGATTTGTATGTGGAACCCATCATGTTGTGAAGGAAAAGCAAGGCATTAACCAACATCAGCCTTAAAAAACCTTCTTGCTTTAACACTTTGTGTTAAGTAAGTTTGGGGGAGGGGTGTTGGCGGATGCTTTTGAGGTTATGTTAATATTAATGAGGGAGGAAAGGAAGAGCATTCAATGTTGATGCTAGCCCATTGAGAGGTGAGGAATTGGCAACCTGAGCAGAGAGTCCTCAGGCCCGGTAAGAAAAAATAGATATGTAGACTGCCCTAAATTGTTGAACCACTATGTATAGGAGTGGAAAAATGCTCTGGGTAGTGGCCTGAGTTGGAAAGAGTCCTGAAGAAAAGCCGCATGGACCGAAGAATGGGTTACGAGGGGGAATAGGTTGTCTGTGAGATAAGTCCTTCTACTTCATAGTATGTTTGGCGGTCCATTGCATTGAAATATGGTATGAAATGTGAGTCTGTTTTTAAAGTAAAATGACATATTTGCAGCAGAACTTTTGTTTTCTATGTTAAATGTAAAGTGATGTCCCTAAGAAACGAATCGCACACACACACAAGCATGGGGGCTAAAAGTGCATGTGGTTTGCATTTTGTTAGGTAGTGCATATTAGAGGTAGTCGAGGTCTTTGTGTAATATGATATTAAATCTCTGAAGCCACCAAAATTAAATAATTAACTGTTTTTATTTGTTTTAATCTTTGGAAATGCTTGAGAACAAGCAATATTTCAAGTTTGGGGGTATTTGATGTGTTCATAATTTATCTATTTTTAATATCCCTTTATGCGAGATTTTGCCAATGTTTTGAGTACAAATATGCTATTTATATGATTTCATCTTTGATTGTAGGAATTGTACTCAAATAGAAGAATTGTTGAGGTGTTGGACTAAATTGAAAAGAAAGAGCAACTAAAAAGGGCCTAAGTGAAGATTGTAATAACTAATGGGGAGGGAATCAGAAGACTTGAAGATTTAGAGGACTGAATTGTAATTTTTATTTTTTCTTATGGTTTGGCCGAGCTTAAGGTGGTGCGGCTGTTGGGCTTGAATTTGGTAAGAATTTTAATCCCAATATTATTTGGTGAAACAAGTTTTCTTCCTCTCCAAGAAGTAGGGTTTGACGGAAGCCTATAAAAGGAGGATTGGGGTTTTATTTTTATCACCGAATTTCAATAAAACCCACACACAAAACCCACCTTTTCCTTCCAGCACCTCATCACCTTAATCATCATCATCAACCCATCACCGCCGCTCACGCAGCTCCAGCACCCCATCACCTCTCTTCATCATCATCAGCCCCTCATGCACTAAACTCTTCATCCATTACATCCCCACCGTATGCCAAAACCCATCACCTCACAACCACCTTGAGCATACGCCCAAAACCCTACGCCTCATCACCAAATCAGCTTCTCCCAGCCCCAAAATTCCACACAAACCTTCTCTACCCACCAAAACCAAAACCTACGCCCAAAACTTCAACCACCAAACTCACGCCTCCATCACCATCGACGCCTCAACATCGTTACTCAACGCACCATCATCGCCAAGAGGAAGGAGAAGCGTCGAATCAATTATTCTAGACGCAACTTTTGCAACTTCTTTATCCTGGTTTCATTGTTTTATTTATTTTTGAGATGATGTGTAGCTAAACTATTTAATCTAGGGTTTTGGATGTAGCCACCGGATTTATTTGGTTTATTTGATTCATGATACTTTGATTTTTCCATTGATCAATATTTAATATTCTTGCTTTTATTCCATATTTGTAACTGGCCACTACTTGCATGTTTAAAGATATTAATTGATGGAACGACAGTTGAAAATTAATATTAGTCCATGGGAATATTGGACTTACGTAGTGAACCACGACAGTAGGAACACAACCTTTGCAATGTTAGATTCTTAAGTTCTTAATGTACTTATGTTAATCCTATAGTCACGAGAGTAGTCATAGGGTTAATCTAAGTAAGAGAATTATAACACGAGAGTGTATAGTTCTTAATTAGGTGAATCGTTGTGAGATTAATGGAAGTTAAAAGTCAGATATTTATGAATTGAATCAAACAAAATATTCGGTAGGTGAACCCAATGTCCTAGGTTTTCCCAACTTGATTGTTTCAACCTTTGAAAGTAATTGCAATTTTAGATTTTTAGGTTTAGTTTTATTTAATCCAAAAATTTGAAATCATCATTTATCTAGATAATAATAGGAATAATTTATACCTGGTAATTAGTATTCCTTCTCTGTGGGTATGACCCTATTTTCCGCTATACTAGTGTTAAGTAGGTGAATTTATTTGACTAGTTGTGACGACGGCTTGTCACCTATTTGAAAGGGATGTGAACTTGGGGCAACCGCGAAAGGAAGGGAGGAACAAGGAGGAGCAATAAAATGGGAGAGGAAGAGAGCACCGAGTGATTATGAGTAAAATCAATAATGATTAGATAGAAATATTATTAAAATAATAAAAATTTGGGTTTTTGGTCGCTTCAGCCAGATTTTGGGGGCAGAGATGAATTGGAAGAATTGGGATTGGATTGGAGACAGAGGTGGCCGGCGGTGGAGACTGTAGTGGTGGACTATGGGGGAATTGGGATTAACTGAATTGGGGATAGAAATGGATCTGAGGGATAAATCCACAAATTAAGGATATGAACTATTATTAAGGTTTGTAAAAAAAATAAAAAAAACCCTATTATTATTAAGGGATAAAACAAAATTCACTTCTGCATTTTGTTTTTTCATTCAAGGAAAAAAAAAAGGTAAAAGCTGGCTGGAGGGGTTTTGTTGTCATTTCATCTATTTTATCGGTCGACTACTTGGACTCGCTGGTCAAAGGAGATTTTTTATCCTTGCTACATCAAGAGAGATTGAGAGAGCCAACAAGCTGCACACACCAAGACGCCCATCACCAACCATCGCCGGAGAAATTGTATTATGGCGAGCCCCGCCCACCGAAATGGACCTGCCTCGACACTGACGGTGCGAAAACGATAACGCCGCCCTCTGCGGCAGCCGGTGGACTTTTGAGAAAACATGGGAAGATGGATCATGGGATTTACATCCAAGATCGGAGATTGTACCGTTCTTGAATCTGAGCTCTGGGCCGCCTTCTTGGGCCTCAACTTGGCTTGGAATTTGGGCTTCAAGAAAGTCCAATTGCAATTGGATAGCCAAAATGCAGTAGACCTTCTAACCGAAGACAACCCGACCCAAGCGGCTAGTAACGTTCTTCCTAGAATAGGCAATCTTTTGAATCGACAGTGGACAATAAAAATCGTTCACATTAGACGTGAAGCCAACAAATCGGCTGATTCCCTTGTAAAAATAGGTTTATCAGCCCCTCCAGGGACTCATATTTTGGCATCCCCCGGAGAAAACTATTGAGAAATTAGAAGTAGACTGTCGAGGATCAACTCAAAACCTTTGAGTTGTTTTGTAATTTAAGTTTTAAGCTTCCTCTGTATTAAAAATAAAATTATATTTTCTAAAACAGTAATGGTGTTTTGGATAATCACTCAAATCTCGGGGGTGTTTTTGATATTAACCCAAAAGATAATAATAGACCATTAAGCATCATTAATTGAAGTGGCATATATTAAGAACACAGCCAATGAGGCATAGCCAAGTATACAACCTTATGTCGTCAGCATTGAAATCTCATCCAAAAGGAATATCCTGAACTATATCCATTTGAGGAATAGCAGAAAACATCTCACATTTCCTAACAAGTAACGCCCAAATAAAGAAATTAGAAGAATAAAAAGATAAGGACGAAGACTTGTTCCACAAAAGAGACTTCCTAAGTCTTTAACAATTAATTAATTATTTACAAAGAATTAGACTTCTAACCACCACAACCGCCGCCGCAACCGCCGCCGCAGCCGCCACCACAAGCACAACCACCACCTCCTCCAGGCGAACCGCCGCCGCCGCAACAGCAACCTTGGCTAGTCCCACCACCACCACCGCCTGGAACCGCGGCACCACAACCACCTCCGGCGGCGGCCCTGTTTCGAGCTTGTTCTTGTTCGCTCGCCACCGTAACGGCGGCAGCCGTAGCAGCCACAGCAGCACCGGCGCCAGCTAAGATCACCATGTTCCCGTCTCTATTGTTGCTGTTAACAACGCTGCTCCGACTGACGTACGTCGGCGGCGGCGGGGGCATAGAATTAACAGCTTTGCTTGGTTTGACGGCGGAGGGTGGCTGTTTTGAGCCTTGATCATCCGCCGTTGATTTGGGCCTTCTTCGACTTCCGATGAATCGACAGCACGACATTTTTACGTTGGAACGCCTAATCCAACCTATAATAACTTCACAATAATGCCACTATGAAACTAATCAAGCAATTCTCACTTTTCAATCTAACAAGTCGGTTAACTTTTCGTCTTTTTTTATCTCTCTTTTAAGCTGGGTGTTTATTTTCATAACCAACACCTTTACTATTTGAAATCACATATTTTAAAATTGGACCACTTTATTCCTATCATTTTTTCAAATCAAATAATTTGACTAGAGAGAAAATTAAAAAAAAATTGAAAATTTAAAAAAAAAAATTGCCGACCGTGCGATTAACCCGGATTTATTGCTCGGCCGATCTCGGTTCGGTCCGATATGGTGAACCGGACCGGTCAAGCTTTTTTTTAAAATTTTTAAATTTTTTGTTTTTTTATTTTATTAAAAAATATCAATCTATCTATATACCATACTAAGGCAAAAATCAGAGAGAGAAAACTAAAAGCATGGAGCACATGCCACATACGATTTAATCCTATGTGGCACTTTCTTAATTTTTTAGACTTAAAAATGCACAAAACAAAATAATAAAACCAAAAAAAAGGCAACTAAAATAATTTTTTTAAAAAAACAATATAATAAAAACCAAACCCTTATTTTCATGAACCAAATCCTAACACAGAGATTGATTGGAGAGAGTACCAAATCCTAACAAATTTTAGAGAGATCTGCATAAACCCTATCACCAGTGAATTTGAAATGTCATTTAAAAAAAAACAAATTCTTGTAAATCCACAGGTAATCATGTTTAAAACTGAAGTCATTACATATTTTATAAAAATATAAAATTTATGTAAAAAAGTCTAAATGTGTATGCCTTCCCCGTCCATCGGACGGGTCTAACACCTAGTATTTGTTATTTAAAAAAGTCGAGAAATTAAAAAAATATCAATCGGATTCATTGCTATTTTTTAATTTTTAGATTTTTTGTTGTAATTAGTTAATCTAGTTTTTAGGTCATTAAATTTATTAATAATTTATTATTTGAGTTACATTAAGTATCACCAATCTTTGTAGTACAAAAAATAGTTAATATATTTGCACATATTTTATCACAATCTTTGTAGTACAATTATTATTTTCCATTATAAATGTATAATTATTATTTTAACTAAAAATTATCTTTAAAATAATGATTAAAGCAAAATTTATATTTTAATATCAATTCAAATAATTAACTTAACAAATAATCTTAAATTTATTTTCAAGTAAAAAATAATTACTTGTTTATTTTTAAGTAAATATAAAATCGAGAGTTTAAACACTAAAGTATAAATATTGTTAATAATATTTAAAGTACAAGGTATTCAACATGTAATGATACTGCGATAAACTAACATTAAAATAAAAATTAATAATTTGTCCGTTCTCAGGTGAATCGGACCGAATGACTTGTCCGGTTCGGTCCGAGTGGTAGGGACAAAAGGGAAATTTTTCAAAATTAGTGGCTTCAAGTACTAATTTGGGTGGCTAGAAAAATCCACCCGCTCTTTTAATACCTTCGTTAATATACACAGTACACCACTGCGTAACTTTATTTATATACTCCCTTCGTCCCATAATTATTGTCCACTTTTACTAAAATGAAAAATTTTATTTTTAGTCAAACTTAACTATATTTTACCTTAAACAATCGGATATACCCCTATATAAGTAATTGTTTAACCACTAAGATTTTATGGATAATGTTTTTTACTAAGGACAAATGTGTAACTTGATCCATAAAAAGTCAAATTGGACAATAATTTTGGGACAAAATTTTTTGGGCAAAGTGGACAATAATTATGAGACGGAGGGAGTAAGTAAATAAGAACAATAGGCTTTGATACTATTATTATCGTGCAGGACCAATTTATATGAGGTAAAGAATTATATGTTGTCGTCTTCTTAAATAAGGAAATAGTATAACAATAAAATCATGCAAGTTTTTGGGGAGAGGATAAGATTTATCGCGGTTTCCAATTGGGTAAAAACGCTATTTCAAAGTTGTTTTCCTAAATTGTATATCTTGGCTACCAAGTAATTACCCAAATCAACACTTAATTAGTGCTACAATAAGATTATTAGTATTATTGAATCGGCATTAAAATTAATTAGTGCGAGAAGTGATGACGCAACTCTACTTTCCAAATAGTGAAGTTTCCAAATAATATATGGATTCCTGAATGAATCCCCTTATATATCAGAATTTGTACTACTATAGAATCAGACCATAAAGGAACTTCCAAAGCATGAAAAAGGGATGGGCAATAATTGTTGTTGTTTCGTTGCAAACAAGAATTCTGCGACGAAAAAAGAATCGAGGAAGCATCAAGAAGGGATGGACAATAGTTGTTGTTTTGGTGCAACCTGAATTCTGCAAAGAAAGAAGAACCGAAGAAAAAAAGAAGCTGCTGTCTATGTGGTTGTTTTCCTTCAAGAAAGTACAAGCAAAGAAGTGTGCAACAATCCACAAGCAGTGGAGGAGGCCGCGCGTTTACTAGCAGTCATTATGATCATCAACAATGCCGCGGCGGTGGTGATACGAGAAGAAAATAAGTATTTGAAGAACAATAAAAAAATAAATCAGAGATGGATTGAATGGTTACATTGTGACTGACTGAATACTAAGACTGAGATAGAAGCCATATTTATAGGCCTTCTACACATGATAGATAAAAATAAAAAGGCTAAAGTTATCAACTACTCAACATGTATCATTCCAACCCTTAGGTATATCCCTAACTCATAAGGTAAACAAGGATTCCTCTTCTTGATAATCTCCTTCTCATGATGATTATCTTTAACATCCTCCCTCAAACTGAGCCGGGGTTGGAAACTCAATTTGTTTCTTGGGTGATTCTGACCACGCGTTGGACTGCTGTTCCTGATATTTGAATGGTGAAAATGCAAGTGATGTAATGCGTGTTTTTTAGTGGAGTTCTCAAATTTTTTATTGTTAGAAATTGTTGAGAAATGATGTATCGATTCTCACTGTTGTGTTAGATTGTTGCATGACAAGTCCAACCTCTTCTTCTGAGAGGAGATCGAACGTTTGTCATGATGTGGATTTTTGTAGATAGAGATATTTTCTCTTTGTCATCTACATTTTTTTTTTCTTTTGTCAACCACATTATTTTTGTGATCGACATGAGACTTGTATTTGACAAGAGGTGGTGGTGATTGAGGGTAAGTTGGTTGTTTATGTTGCCTGAGACTGGCTTTGAGTGAATCTAAGAGGGAAGACCCTGGTGATGAATTGAGGCTGGATAATGATTTTTAGTAGTGGTCATGGTGGTGATAGGGAGTAATTTTGACGAGGACTCAGTAAGGTTTGGAATATCGAATGACATAGAATATAGATGCGAATAGAAGATTAATGGTTTATTTCTTGAAAGAAAAAATAAGCGGAAGCATGGTACAGAAGCAGGGCGGGACCTGCTCTGAACCAAGAAGAAAATAAGTATTTAAAGAATAATAAAAAAAATAAATCAGAGATGGATTTAATGGCTACATTATGACTGACTGAATACTAAGACTGGAATAGAAGTCATATTTATAGGCCTTCTACACATGATAATTAACATATTTTCACTATTAGATAATAATAAAAAAGACTAAAGTTATTAACTAATCAACATTTATCATTCCAACCTTTAGCTATATCCCTAACTCATAAGGTAAACAAGGATTCCTTTTCTTGATAATCTCCTCTTCATGATGATTATCTTTAACAATACGTTCATATTTGTCGACACAGACGCTGATTCATCTCCTCGGAATTGTTGTTGTTGCTGTGGTTGTTTCGATGTGGGTGATTGCGGTGACTTTGATTGTTGTGGCGATTGCGATTTGCGATTGCAATTTTTATTGTGACTGTTTTAGCAGTTGCCTGTGCTGCCTTTGTGAATGTTTGTTTTCTGCTTGCGATGATTAATTAATCAGACCCCTCATTAAACAAGCTATTTTCTTTCCCTCAAGGTTTCTCTAGTTATGCAATGATTTATTTGTTTCGGTCCACTTTGTCACATTAATTATTTGGATTCAACAAAATACATTCTACATATGAACAAATAGTTTCTCCTTTCTCTTTTTTTTTTTTTTTTGTTTAAGAACTCGGAGTATTTTCACTTGTCATGTCAATATATTATACTACCTCCGTCCCACAAAAATAGTCCACATTAAGTTTTCAAATTTGTACTAAAAATAATACAAAACTCAAAACTCAATGTGAACTATTTTTATGGGACGGAGGGAGTAACAGACTTCAAATCAATTAAGTCGATTTCTAGAATATCACACGTGATTCAGTCCATATGAACCAAACATTACTGATACTCCACCCGCACTAAAATTATTGTCCAGTTTGGGTTTTCATTCCTAGTACGAAATGAACTAAAATTGAAAATGTAAACTGGATAATAATTTTAGGAGAGAAGGAGTATTATATTTTAGTACACCAACCTAACAAGTCTATTTTACCATACCTTTCTTGAAAAGTTACTATATTACTCCTCCCTTTTTGTGTTCTTGGCCAATAACATAACTATATTTTGATAAGAAGATGAACATCGTAGCTCATCAATTGAGCAATTGGGCAAAACCATATATATTTGGGTGGTTTATGTCTTTGGTGTGATCTGGTCTACTTCAAAATTTTCAAACAGTAATTTTTGGCGCATGCGTGAAGCTGAGGGAGAGGACTACAAAAGATCACGTTTAATACAATTTTAATTGTTAGTTTTGACTCATCCTTCAGTTTAGGATCACAGAATCAGAAAAAAAAAAAAAATATAGAATCCACCATTATCGGCTAAATCTTTTGATTTTGTATCTTACGTGGCCTAATTCAAAAAATTAATCATCCCTGATAAAGACGAAGAACCCCAACCAAATTAACTACGATTAGTTGAGTGTCTATTTTAACGAAACAAATTTTGTGATAATGAAAGATGTAATCATCAAAGTCTACGTTGAATCATCAAAATTTGCATCTCGTTCTTCCAACACCAAACCCCCTTCAAAGAGAGGTACTTCATCAATCCCTTCATCTTCTTCCAAACCTCAAAAAGGAAGAATACAAGGATATGATCGCCGAGCTCAGCTACTTGCCTACGCAAAGAAATTAAGGTCTCCCGGTGGTAAATCAGCCAAATGGTCTGAAGCAAAATCAATGGCAAAAGACAACCCGGTAATTCAATTTTTTCTTTTTCTCCTTAATTCTCCTACAAGGCTACAACCTTTCATATTTCAGTTATATTATTAAGGACTTCAAAATTTTCTCACTCAAGTGAAGTGATCATGATTAAACTTTCAACAGAAATGGAAATGGCCAACACTTTCTCTTAATAGGATAACAACGACGTCGTCGTACCCTAAGCTTTCCCATCGAACAAACAAGCAATGGAGGTATGAACAGATTGCTACCGAAAATTATAACAACGATGTCGATGAATTAGGCAAGCAACAACGTAAGACCACAACCCGGAAAGCCAGACCAAAACGAAATTCTGGTTTTTGCGTAAGTAGTAATCCTTTTTCTGTTTCACTCTGGTACTGCCTAGTTTGTTAATTTTTCTCATCTCCTTTGTATTAATTAATTCATGCAGGAAAAGATTAAGAGTTTTCTCAAACAGCTGTCCTGCTTTTGTAGCTGCAAATAGAGGCCATTCCTCATCACTTTCATTCAATGACACTCGAGAAACTTTGTTTGAAACTGATAGATATAGATAAAACCTCTTTCCTTTGTTACATTTTCTTTTTTCTCGTGCTACACCTCTTTCCTAATACTATCTTCTGTTCTTATTATTAGACATTTTGATTTATTTTAAGTTTCACTAGTATGTTTTTTCAATTGAAAAAAGAAATCTGAAAAAAACATTTCTACATTCATCACGTTCTCTTAATTTATTAGAAAATATTTTTAAATTTTTTTCTATCGAAAAAATATATTAAGTGAAACTTAAAACAAATAAAAACGACTTATAATAAGAAACGATCAGGGTTGCTATCCTTCCTGGTAATAGATCATGGTTCGATTCCCACCAGAGGTTCTAAGGGAATTTTACCCACATTTAAGTGGAGTTTATGGGGTGGATTTTTTATTTTTTATTTTTTTATTTTTATCTTCAACGTTAGTTAATATGAAAATATCTCCCCAAATTCTGCATCGTATCAGTAGGTCAATTTTTCTTTTTTTTCTTCGAAACGACGAGAATTTTACGTAGATAAACTTGCGTATATATTGCAATAGACGGCAAGTCACCATGAGAAGGTGATCGAAGTGCAACATAGGAATTAAATAATCCCTTATATCATCAAAACTGTGAAATCATAACTCACATTTGAACTTGGTGTTAATGTCTAATCTCAGTAAGTTTTTTTTTTAAAAAATTAAAAAAAAAAAAAAAACGGAACATAAGCGACATTTCTAAATTTAAAGCTATTTTATAAGTGGAGCAATTCACTACTTTGATACCAACAATGTACAACAAACTCAACCAACCATGCATGTAGCTGTGGCACATTTTTTTTCTTGGTAATGAAACTACAAGAATTAATCTTCTAACAAATCACCACAAATTAATACAGGGGACTAACTAATCTAACTAATCCAATCCACATCTTTTAAACTTCAATAAATTGTCATCAGCTCCTAACGAAAGACACGACGAACGCCACGATCTTAATGTGAATGTCTAAGTAATACTCATCCCCCGCCACCGCCATCTCCACCGCCGTGCCCGCCTCCGTGACCACCGCCATGACTACCACCACCACCACCTCCATCAAAAGCAGCTGCGGCGGCGAAAGCGGCAGCACCGGCAATCATCGCGGCGGACCCTCCGTCACCGACGGCACCATGACCACCACCGGGTGCACCGTTTCCACCACCACCACCACCGTAGGTTTGATGACGAGATGAAGTGGAACCTCTTTTCGGAGTAACGACGTGGGTGGGAAGGGTCTGTGATTCCTTCTTGTGGCCTTTTCGGCAATGATTAATCCCAAATATCATCGTAATCAGGAGAACGATGACAATTGGTATCACAATCAATAGAATCATCTGTGAAGATGTTTCTTAAACTTTCTGCAACTATATATTTGATGGGTTTTCTCAAGAATCCTAAAGATATAGTACAAGTGAATCAACTTTGTAAAATGGTTGAGTAAAGAAGAATTGCAGGAATGAATTATGGAGGAAAAAAGGGATTGGTTTTTTTTTTATGAATATATAGATTGCGAGCCCAGTTTTGAATTCTGATCAGAACATGGACTTCTTTTTTTTTCTTTTTTCTTTTTTTTTGGATTATTGGAGGGGGTTTTTTATGATGAATGAAACAAGGCAATTTGGCAAGTGGCTAAGGAAGTTTGTAAATTATTGTTAATGGAGGTAAGCCCCCCCATGTGCCGACCTTGAATATTCATGTGCCAACCGTAACATTTGAAATTGTAATTTATAGGTACGTACTTTAAAAATCTAAGATTGATTGATGATCGATGATTAAGGATTGATTGAGTACATTATCTCAAGAATCAATTCAAATAATAATCAGAAGAAGATGAAGACGTACGAAGAAGAAGAAAAGCTTGTCACAGGGAAAATGGCCGGCCTTTAGAGTTTAGAATTATTAACTACATGTGAATTTTAGGGGAATCTAATGATGAGGTTCTATTTACTATCATTATGATTTTCTTTTTTTCTTTTTTTTTGGAAGTAGGATAGACAAGGACTCATAATATGAGGTGTTTAAAATTTAAATTCTAGATTTAATACGAAGAAAAAATAAGTTTTGTTTTGAATACATACCGTCTCTTACAAGCGCGTAGACTAACAAAATAAGTTATGAAAATGAAAGATGTAGTAATTTAATTCACTTCATTCATCGTAATTTTTTATATTTTTTCTCGTAACCATTACTCTTACTCGTTTATCAAACCGAACGCAATTGGTGCTCAAGTTTTGTGAAGTTTATGATGCAGGTTGGAAAGTTGGATGATGCAGGCATTCAACTCAAGAGATTCGCCTTGGGAATTTGGACGACATTGCAATTTTATTTTATTCCTGTAAGGAGAGAATATAGTGAAACACGCGATACCAGCCCACTCATTCATCAGTTTAATCTCTAAGCAGGCTGAACAAGGAGATCGTTATCTTAATGGCCCAATCATTCGTACTTCTTTGAATTCTCTTCCCAATTGCTATTGTGTGCATTGCTTCTGTCACCCAAAACTAGTTAACATCAATAATTTATAATGCTTAATGATACATAGTGGAAAAAAAATTTGACAAGGAATGATCACATACCATTCATTTTTTAAACTCTTCATCTGAAACATACGTATTTAAAATTAGGACATAGTTTCAATGATTGATATATCATTCATTGTACTTTTTCTTGTCAATTTTTTTCTGTATGTATCACCACTCTTAAATTTATAGGATGAATGAAATATTACAATATGAATTAAAAAAAAAAATCTCCTTAACAACATAGTATATTAGGTATTCCATTACAAGTTATTGATCACTGCAAGATTGAATTAGTTTATTTTTCTAATTCAAATTATACCAAAACTAAATAATCACTTCGAAACAATTGTAATATCACATTTTACTTCTTTCACCTTCTCCCCTTTTCAGTATTCTTTGTGTTTAATCTAATGTGGACATTCTGACTATTCCGTCACCAACATAAATTGAACAAGGATAATAATTTGTATAAGAAAATTTTATATGAAATTTTAACAAATAATGAATTATAACTGTCTATATTTATACTTTACCTTTACGGTTTTATTTATTCATTAAGTGTTATGAAATAATTAAGATTTAACCACATCGTTGCTTATAAATTTTCTTATCAAATTTTTCTATATCTAATCACTATTCAACAAGCGGTAGTAAAATTGTTTTACGTGTATTTTATATTTATTAGAAGTAGTGAAATTAAAAACAAAAAACAAAAAACAAAAAAGAAAAAGAAGAAGTGGGAGGATGAAATTACATGCAACCACGTGTCACCGTCTACACCCCTCTATTTTCGCGGCCAACAAAATCTATTCTCGTAATCTTTCCATCTCTTCCCATAAATTTTCCCATTTTTTGGGGTTAAAAATCAACATATCCTGAGCGCAATTGCAATCGAAGTTCTAGAAATTACCATAGCCCAGTATCATAAAAGCCAAGAAAATCCCACCAGCTTTAGCAGTAGCGGTTTAAGGTTGAGAGTTTTTGGTCTGATTGATAGCAGCCATGAGTGGTGGAGGTTTTGTTCATCTCTTTGTTCTGACACTCCTATGGATTTTGCTGTCAAATGCATCATCTTTGAGCATTAAATCGGCAACAGAGCAAAATAGCGGCGAATCCCGTGTTGGCAAATTTCCTCCTTCATGCACTCGTATCGAATGCCCAAGCTATGACGTCATTCATTCCGGGAAAGGGTTCGAAATCCGGCGGTACGACTCGCCGGTGTGGATGTCTACTTCTCCCATTGATGATATTTCGCTTGTCGAGGCCACTAGAACTGGTTTCTTGAGGTCAGCTTAATCTCTTCCCGTCACTAATTAGTTCCCCTTAATTGATTTTGATTAATATGTATAGACTTTAATTCTATAACTTGAGAAAGGTTATTCTTGTACCCTTCTGACATGTGTGGCTAAAGATGGAATACTAATGGGTTAAGTTGTGGAAATTTTAGATATGAAAAGTGGGTTAAGTTCGATTTGGATTTGGATATGAAGTTTCTGATTATATAATTGCACTTCAAGAACTGTTATCCTGCAAAAATTTGAATATAGATTCATTCAATCAATTGGATGGAAAAAGGAAATATTTGATTTGTTGTAGTGTTCTGCCAATATTTACTTCACATCTTTCAGCTTGTTTGCTGTGGTTAAGAAAATTGTCTTCGGAATAGGGGCTTTCTTATCATGGTTCTCATTTTGAAAATTGTGGATATTCTCCTTCTGATTGAATGCATTTAGTAGCATCTTATATATGAACTTCTCAGACGCTTGTAAGCTCCCAAGGTTAATTAGGAAATCTCTCTGTTCACGGCACTTTATGCATTATACTGTTTTCTATGAGTTGGCACAGGCTGTTATTAACCAATTTGCTCTTGAAATCCCCTGCCCCTGATTTGGCGAGTTGGTTTTCTCATGAATTCGCAGGCTATTTGATTATATTCAAGGAAAGAATGAGTATCAGAAGCAAATAGAGATGACAGCTCCTGTGATCACTGAAGTCAAACCTAGTGATGGACCATTCTGTGCTTCGTCGTTCATCGTGAGCTTCTATGTTCCTAAGGTTAACCAAGCAAACACTCCACCAGCCAAGGGGCTTCATGTGCAGAGGTGGGAAAAAACTTATGTTGCCGTGAGGCAATTCAGCGGGTTCGTGGCTGATTCTGACGTCGCGGTTGAAGCCTCTGCCTTGCATGATAGTGTCTCTGGAACTAAGTGGGCAGATGCAATTGACAAGAGCCATGCTGGAGAGAACACAACTATCTACACTGTTGCTCAGTACAACTCTCCTTTCGAGTTCCAGGACAGAGTAAATGAGATCTGGCTGACCTTTCAGTGGAATGAAGATCAAACTGTAAGGATCTAATTACTGGAAATTGGCTGTTTACCATATCTAGCATACAATAATGTTGATCAAAACTTCAGTATTGTCTAACTCCTGTTTGCTTCTGTCATCCTTTGATCACCATCTACCTCTCAAACAGCAATCATAACTTCGATTACTATCTTAAATGTTTAGATACAGTTTTGAGGTTGCAAGTAGTAATTTTGGTCGCTGGGTCATCAGTTATAGTAGTGATGAAATGAGGTTGTAAAAGGAATAATTGCTATATCATTTTTAGATGAGGATGTAACAGAATAATTGATATATATTACTTGTTAAAACGCGGTCATTGTGATTGAATTTGAATGCTAAGAACCTCTTTTAGTAGTGATGAAATGAGGTTGTAAAAGGAATAAGTGCCAATTTTTTTTTTTTTTTAAGTTTGAGTTGATGAAACAATCTGAAACAAAGAAAGCAGCAATGATATGGAAAGTTATGGTGAAAGTCCGGTGCAACTAAGGTTTAAATCAAGAACTTGAACCAAGTTTTGTCCGACAAGCATCTGCCGTATATTTTCTATCTATAATTCGTCCCAATCTACAATTTTTCATCACTTACGTTTTCTAGTGAAGTAGGTTGATTCTTTTTCTTATTTCTCTTTCTAATGCTCTTTGTACCTTTTACCAATAGGTGTTATAAGAGTTGTAACGTTTTAGCATCTCATTATAAAATAATTAGCCTTTGATAACTATATATTCCCTCCATTCCGAAATAATTGTCTAATTTGAATTTTAACATTTATTTTACTCAATGAGATTTAAATCAACAAATTTGTACTTCATCGTTTATAATAAGAAACAAGAAAGTTGCTTTTGATTTGTCTAATTTATTTTTATATTTTCACACTGTCAATTGTTGAATTGCTTAATCCGGACTACGAGTAGTTCTCCATGCGGCTTTATTTGGGTCAAAGGTATACGTTTCACCCTCAATCGGGTCAAAATTCACACGGATTGTGAATACTGATCCACCGGTTATACTTATACAGACGTAAGCACAAGAAGTTATTGTATTATTATTAGTTTTAATTTCATTTTTCGAGTCATGTCAAATAAATTAAGTTAACAGATCTGATGTTATCTCGATTTACATAGTATAACTTATAATTCCTATCGATGTAATAGCATGGACACTTTTAACTATTAGGTACCATCTTAAAAAAAAAAAATTAGCAACTTAATTAACACTGTTAGGCAAGAAATTAAATGAACTGTGAGTAACTTTTCACATAATATTTTTCATACATTGGTTCACCACGATACTGCCTACAGTAATTTTTTATAACACATTTGTTATCAATGCCCTTGCCACTTCCAGAATTCTATTTTCAGAATAAACTAGCTGCGAACATGACATGCATGCCAAATTAATCTATCACCTTTTAGAACATAAATTACCGCCTAAACAAAGTCGGTGCTAACCTTTCGGAGGTCTTAGACCGAAATTAATTATTCGGGCTTTTTTTATTCTCAAATGGAATAAATACAAATTAAATATGTACTCTCTAAAAATTAATCACGTTTAGCAAAAAAAAAAAATTAAAAAGTCTAAAATTTTTATTTTCAAACAACCATTATATTTCCTTATTAAGCATAATTTGGAATCTATTTTTTTTAAAAAAAAATTTAAATGATACTAGCATTTAGTATAAATAATTTTCAAATCCTTAACCTGTTACTAGCCTGTATTGAACATCTTTGTTGTGAATATTGAGTTGATGAAGGGTCTTACTTTGAATATCATTCAAATTATTGGATCACAAAAATAGTAAAGGGCATTTTTTAAGCTTCATGGCCCATGGGCACTTTTCTATCTGGCCCATGGGCCTTTGCCTCTTTAATCCTTCAGGCTGGCCTTGACAGTAAAACCGTCATATATAAGGAAAACTGTAAAACCTATTCCTAGCAATGTTTTCAAAATAGGGATTTCACACATGATCGTTTTGCCGTCTCAGGATCGGATCGGCTTCTGGATCGGTGGGATCGGATCGATGGGATCAAAACTATTTAAAATTATTATAATAATTCTGAAACTGCGAGTTTCAATTTATTAGTTCAATTCTTGTTTAATTTTATAGAGGAGAATTAAATTAGTACTCGCATAAGTATCATTAACTCAAAATTTCAACTTTTATATCTTTTCTAATTATTTTTCCTCTTTTTTATACGAAATCAACAATTTGTACAAGCATCGATAAAATAAATGGGATAATTGGATCGTAAGATCCTACGATTTAAATTGAGATTTTGAAGGATTCTATAAGATCCCACTACAAAGAAGGATTCCATAAGATCCATAATAGATTTCTTAATTTTGGATCGTAGAATCGTAGGATTTTAAAATTTCGAGATTTTGAAAACTACGATTCCTAGTAAGAAATACCCTAACACAACTTTCTTCTCACAGAATCGGAGTTTTCTTTTCTATGGGTAAACCAACAAAGATTTCCCGGTGCCCTAGGGCACAATCGACAGCCGCCTTAAAGGCCGCGAAGGATTCCGTCTCCGTCAAACCCACAACTGTCAGAAGAAGACGTCAACATCATTCAAAAGACCCAATGGAGGAGAAGACTCAAAGTTCTTCTGTCCCAGTGATTGACATGAAAGACCCTCGCGATCTACCCGACAAGATAGTGAAAGCTTGTGAAGATTGGGGTTGTTTTAGGGTTTCAAATCATGGGATCCCAACCGAACTCTTGTCTGAAATGAAGGGTTTGGCCCGATATTTCTTAGATCTCCCGACTAAAATCAAGAAACGTAATGCTTCTTGGAAACCCGGCCAAAGATTACAATATACGCTGCCTTATAATGTTACCCCTTATTTCCAAAGCTTGAGAATTGATGATATGATCTTCCCTGGAGCTCTTGATGATTTTTGTGATCGGATTAATGCTTCCCCCCACCAAAGGTAAATTTAATACTCCCTATGTCCCAAAATTATTGTCCAATTTGAGATTTCACTTTTAGTACAATTTGAACTAAAAATGAAAATTCAAACTGGACAATAATTATGGGACGGAGGGAGTATGTTTTTAGTGGTTCCCATTTATTTAAATTGTTAAATTAGTCCGTTTTTGCTTTGGAAACGATTTTTTTAACTTTTTTATTGACTTTGGTTTTTTAATTTGCAGGGAAACATTAGTAAGGTATCCACAAGCACTTTATGGGGCAGCAATAGAGATTTGCGAGAAGATTATGCAAGGTTACGGGTTATTAGGCCGTGGGGAAAAGACATCAAAGGATTGGGTTTGCGATTTACAGTTGAACAAGTATAATTTTAGCCAACAAAGCCTCGGATCAACCGGCGCAATCGAGCATTCGGACCCGGGTTTCTTCACGCTCTTGCAGGATGATGAATTGGTCAACGGCTTGGAAGTTATGAACAAGTTCACCGGGGAATGGGTTCCGGTCGACCCCATTCCGGGAACCCTTGTTGTCCTCGTCGGAGATACTGGAATGGTATGGAGCAATGGAAGATTCTGTAATGTGAAGCATAGGGTGCAGTGCAACAAACCAATGACTAGGGTTTCGCTCGCGACATTTGTGTTAGTTACCAGAGACAAAATTGTAAGAACACCAGAAGAGCTGATCGATTCTAAGCATCCTCGTCTCTACAAGGAATTCTTCTATTACGAAGACTACAAGCACCTTCGTTTGTCCAGCTCTCCAACCGCTGAAGCTCTCGAACATTTCAAAGTCGACAGTACCACCGACGACTGATCATTAGTAAGAGAACTAGCTAGATGAATATTTAATATGCTCTCTCCCTTCCAAAAATGATTATGGTACCGAACATGACAATAAACAAGATAATTATTTTTGGGCGGAGATACTCTTGTACTTATTTGTTTATAATGACAATTTTATTTTTTCAAGAAACAAAAAGTGGCTTCATCTTATTTAACTCATATGGCTGTGAACTAGACTTTATGCTTCTAATTTGTTTGGATAGTGATGTTTTGATTATGAAAGAGAAAGCCCTGATTTAAGTGTATTCTACTCTGAGAAGAACATTATGCGTTGAGGTCATTCATCTCCGCTGCCTGAATTGTTTTGGCATTTAAGTATGACCATTACTTGATAGATTGAAAATTGTTACCGAATTTTTCATGTTTGATAATTACTTGATATGAAAATGCGCTACCAACAAATCCTTTTGTGTGGAAATTCATTTCTTTAGTTTTGAAGTAGAAAGAATGGGTTCTTTTTTATTCCAATTGCAGTAACTGTTGTTGTCCTGATAAATTGTAGATGTAATTAATCGTATAGAAAAATGTTGATGTAATTGTCCAAAATAATTGCTCCTATAATTGCTAGGAACAGAGAGCTAAAGAAAAACTTTTGCTTTGATGTCATATTTCATTGTTGCTAATTTCTATTCATATCATTTCTTTGATCACCATCTACTTGCATTCATCACTTCGATTATTAGTTTCTATATATTCACTCATGACGTATGCAAATCTATATCCACATCTTTTGGTTGGAAAAGTGCAATTCCTGGTTCATGTTAATACGAGTCCAATTTGTTGTGGTTGAGTTCAAATGTTAAAAATCTTTTAAAAAGTGTGATGAGCTTTTCAACATAGCAATGAGTTGGACTACGTTCATGAGTACACTCATGTTATAATTTCTGATTTAAGGTTTTTTTTTCTCAATGCAAAAACATATTGGGTAAAATTTAAAAAAAATCAAAATCCCTTATAATAAGGACAAGAAGGAATATTATACTCTGTCAACCGAGATCGGTGTTTGTATACAAATTGATTTCCTGGTATTTCTTAATCTTTGAACTTTAAACTGCACTTTTTATCATTTCTTCCTCGTCATTGTAGCGGTCCAATCGGTCCTTGTAAAACAAACCTTTTCAGAAGTCATCAAATCTGACTAAGAAGCACGGTGTCACACCTCTCATCAAATTAATATTGTTAATAATTAGATACAATTTTGTTAAAAGTTAAATCGATCGATTACAGTTTCGTCAAGGGATCAAAGCGTGACAAGTAAAAAAGCCAAATGTGATGTGATGATTTGTTTCTTGTAGCCTAGTTAATTAATTTATAGACGTCGAATTAAGGAAATGGAATAGTCATATGCTTGTCTCGACTTTGGCCCGGGAAGAAGAGAGCTCTCTCTGGCCCGCACTAGCCAAATCTGGTCATTTTGTCCATAAGTGATTATTTACTCTTAAAATAAATAGAACAATTATTTTAAGATAGGCAAGTATGAAGCTACTGTCCTTCGATCACTAATATCCATCTCTCTTAACACTTGTTCAGATCATGGCACTTGATCTTTCAGTTCGTCCTGGCCAAACATTGTAGAACATTTGCATGCAACTGGTTTTCATTCATTTGCTTCCCCCGGCTCTCTTTCGTCCGGCAAATGTTCCACTGTGCTCAAAATTAAGTTGCGAAATTGCATTTTCCAGATGCTGTCAAGAGTTTGCAAATTTACTAGTGAATTTCGACAGTAGTAAAATCAACTAACGGTGCTCTCTGCTCATCCCATCCAAAAAAGATAAAATAAATTTAAATCATATTCTTCGTATTTTGTAGTTTAACAAACAGAATTTTAATTTTTAACTACATATTTATTTAACAAACGTACGTATTTAAAGAGACACAAAGAATACGACCAATTTTATGGGAAAAAAAATTCAATATCACGTAAACCGTGATATTTTACCAAAATAGCACAATTATGTTGCAAATTAACGTCCAAAATAAATTTTGTTGATCATTAACAATACTTTACTCTAGTGTCACAAAAATGTGGAATTATTTCATAGCAGAAAGAATCAACATCGCATATGTGACGCTAGACTATAACATATATATTCCCTTCATCCTAGAAAAATAATCCACAACTAAGACTGTTCTTTTGAAGAAAACCGATCCGAATCGAACCGTTATTTTGGTTCGGTTTGAAAACGAGTCAATTTTTTTTGGACCACAAATGGTTTCGGTTCGGTTTGGTTCGGGTTAAGTTTTGAGTCTAAACTGAATTGATCCGAAATGAACCATTTTGCTAGTGATGATGTCATCAAAAGTGACGATGATGTCATCATTGCAGAAAAATACTGACTTTGTTTGGACAAGCACTCATTTTACATTTTAACTCATTTTATCTGTTAAACACAAAATCCGATGAAAAAGAAAACATCATCCAAACAACTTTCTGATTTACATTTTAAATTTCAACTTGAAACACTTTTTGTTAGTGTAATGACCATTTTAGAACTATAAATAGTTCAGTGACAAATTTGGCAGGATTTGGTTGTTGAGTGATTGGTTTTGGAAAAGTTCTTTTTTCCAGTGACTATAATTGACAGTATTTAATTGTTTAGTGATGACTCGTACTTGATATTTTCAATATGTAGTTCAAAATATTTTTTTCTAAACCAACATCCAAACAACTTTTTGCTCAAAATACCATCCAAACAACATTTCCATTTCCCATTTAGTTTTCAACTTGAAACACTTTCCACTTTTAAGTGGCAAAATGAAATGTAAGATGACGTCCAAACAAGCACTAAATTTCTGGCAAAATCGCCTGAATTTTGGCTAGAAGTTGTCCCCGACGCCGACCGGCGGCGGTGGTCAAAGGTGGTAGCGGCGGTCAACGACGATATTATTAAAATTTAATTATTTAATTTTTAGTTTTGAATTTTTTTGGTTCAATTTTGATCCGAACCGTTCCAATGTTTAAAATTTTCGATCCAAATCGATGCGAACCGAAATTAGAATTTCGGTTCGGTTCGGTTCGAATCGTCAAATCGACCCGAATCGCGGTTCAAAAAGACCAACCCTATTCACAACAATATCATATTTGAAATTCAATGTAAACTATTTTTTCGGGATAAGGTAGTATAGTTTTGTAGTAGAAAATAGAAATAAGGCACTAAGCTGCCACTTACAGAAGTATCGTCAAAGGTCTTATTTTCAACGAGGATTTAGTTTGAATTTGAAGAATATGTTGGTAGAACATTCTCAATAAGACGTGGAAAAGGCGTGTGATAGAAACTACACAAAGTTTAGCCAAGATTCACGTGGAAAAGTAGCTATTTCGTGAGAAAATGTTAGTCCGCGACGGACTACCCTTTTATCAGAAGTTCTACCAGTTTGATATGCGCATGTTTGCACAGAAAAACAAAACCTCAAGGTTTCTATTTAACTAAATTAAATTCTTTGTTTATTATAATCTTTAGTTATTGGCACTCAATTGGTCAGAGTAGACAGAAAGTCCAATGTCACGGAATTTTCAAAAAATGTTGGACATCAAAATTGGAAAAATTATACCGGCATCTAACTAAGATATCAATAGGCTGTTACTTGTTACTGAAATTAATTTATTCTCTATCTTAAAATGATTTTCTTTTTTTTAATTTTATAAAATAATAGAATAAACAAAATAATAATTCTAAAACAGAGAAAGATCATTAAATACACATCAACCCGCTAAACTAACATCTCACCAGTTTAATTTTTTTTTTTTTTTAAACAGTCGCATGCCATACTCAAACCTCACTTTCATCTTGAGGGTCTGCCATTTTTAACATTTAACAAGTGGTCAAATATAATTAATTTCTCCGTAATTCTTTCTCCTTTTGTTTTCACGGTTTCTAATAATTCAGTTAAAACAGAGGACCACACGGAGTCAATGACTATGACTACTATATATAGATGAACTACGGTCGATTGATAGCCCTTTTCAATACGACCAGTTTGGGCAATGGTTAGCATAAGGGTGATAACTTTTTTGTGGACTGAATTCCTTCTACAAATTAATTAAAATGCTGACTTGACACACAAAAAAAAAAAGAAAAAAACATTATCGTTCAATTTTTCCTTTTTCCCATGGCAATTAGATAGCCTCCGTTTTGCCGTATTGGACACCCCCACCGATGAAGAGATCTATCATTGCTTACTCGATCGAGCACCTCTAAATTGACTCAAATAATCATGGAGTATTTCCCTTGGAGATATTTCTCGTTTGTATTGGTCCTCAATCAAGTGGACGAGCGCTATATTACCATTTTAACGGCCTTGATTGATGACTCCAATTCGTACTACACAAAGAAATTTAGACCTTAATTTTCTACCCCTTGGAAAGTTTATTTTGAGATTTGATTGTAACAATTACGCTATTTATTATGTCATTGAATAACTTTTGACTTCACAAAATGTTAACAATATTCTTTAAGTTTTGAGATTGATTGATGATAGAAAAATTTGTGATCCCACTAGACTAAAGAAATTAAAATTTTCTTCACAATAAGATGGCTGACACTTTTGACTGTAATTTGTAGCCTGTAGAGTTACATTATGCTATATAATAATGTATAATAAAATTCTGTTAGTAGAAGAATGGAGTTGTTGCTGTTTTTTTTGCTGCGTCTTTTCTCCCTTCTAGAATGCTATACTCTCTTGGGAAAGTTTTCAAAAGCATCCGCGTCACCATAATGATAATAATGTATTAAATACATATGTAGTTACAATAATTGATATACTCTCTTTGTCACTTAAGGTTACTAATAAAACATTTATACAAAACAGACTCGTTTTTCTTGAAGCCGACGCAGTAATTCCCATTTAAGTCGGTTAGATTAGATATGTTTTGGAACAAAGTACGAACGCCAAAGGCCGTAAGAAAAATTTATTTGACCATATGTACTTTTCCAAACTACACGTACTATAAAAAAAAGGAGGATTTCATGCGGACAATCTTATATCAACTCAAAACTTTTCAGTTCCGTAGACAAATCTTCCAGTGATACACACAAAAAATGGAGGTCAAAACCAGTGTTCCAGTAATTGACCTGCAAGACCCTCATGATCTTGCCAACAAAATCGTGAAAGCTTCCGAAGAATGGGGCTGTTTCAGGCTTTCAAATCACGGGATCCCGCCGGAACTCTTGTCGGAAATGAAGGTAGTTTGCCGGTCATTATTAGATCTTCCATTGGAGATCAAGCAAGGTAATGCTCCTCCTGGACCGGGGCAAAGATACACGCCACCACATCTGGCTAGCCCATATTTTGAAGGCTTGAATATCTATGACATGGCCCATCCTGGAGTTGTCGATGATTTCTGCTCTCAGATTAATGTTTCTACCCAGCAAAGGTAATTAATTGAATCCCCCCACATATTAATCAAGTGTTTACATTAATGTTGGATAATTGTTTCTAAGGGTTTTTTTTTTTTTGTAGGGAAACAATATCTAAGTACTCAGAAGCAATTTATGGGGTTGCAAAAGAGGTTGGGAGGAAGATGATGGAAGGATATGGAATAATGGAGGAGAAAGAGATTTTTGAGAATTGGGTTTGCCAGTTACAGATGAACAAGTATAATTACAGCCAAGAAAGTGTGGGGTCAACTGGTGCTGTCATGCATTCCGACCCTGGATTTGTCACAATCTTGCAGGATGATGAATTGGTCAACGGCTTGGAAATCGTTAACAAGTTCACCGGACAATGGGTTCCGGTTGACCCTATTCCGGGCACCCTTGTTGTTAACATTGGAGATACTGGCAAGGTAATTAAGCATCACAAAAAAAAAAAAAATGGAACTTACCATCCAAATACAATTTTCATTAACTTCACTATCTTGAAATAAGATTCTCTATCTCACTTATTATACCGATCATGTCTCATTAATTAGTGAAAATTGCAACTTCGTTTCACCCTAAGATGTATGAATCTTCATCTGATATAGAATTACGTTATATCACTAATAAGACACGATTCGTAGGTGAGATGTGATCGTTAAATTCTTACAGTCTCTATAGCGTATATGAACTTAAAATGGAATGGTTGGATGCAGGTATGGAGCAATGGAAGATTTTGTAACGTGAAACACAGGGTACAATGCTACAAACCAATGATTCGTGTATCAATTGCTATATTTGTATTAGCAGCCAGGGATAAAATAGTGAGAACTGCGGAAGGTTTGGTGGATTCAGAACATCCTCGTCTCTACAAAGAGTTTGATTTTGAAGAATATAGGAAGCTTCGCATTTCAACTAGTTCACCAACTGGTCAAGCTCTCGAGCTGTTCTCAGCCACCAATTAATTAGACGTTCTCCATACTTCATTGTAATAAGCTTCAATCGTTTGAGGCGTAAATTTTGATTTTTAAGACTTAAAGCAAGGCTTTTACAAGATATATATATATACAACAGATATAAGTTCTGATAGGAAGTTAACAAGATTTGTGCTGTCACTCCTCAAGTAAAAGGATTGATAAAATTAGCCAACGAAGCAAGATATATATACATTCTCCACTCAAATTTCTAAGCCTTTAAATTGTTTTGGTTTGGCACGAAGATGAAAGCCAAAGGCACGAAACAGTTACATTATTGCACTGCGGATAAGTTGCCCTTAAAAGAAGCACCATATCGATAAGTTGTCATTATTTTTTATTTGCCCGCAGGCCGCCGCTCTATATCGCAATGTGACAAATACTTTTTTGTGATATCAGTAAATATATACTCTATCCATTCTAAAATAAAAAATAAAAAATAGTCCATATCTATAATTATCTAATTTGAATTTTTATTTTTAGTTCAAATTACACTAAAATGAATATCAAACTAGACAATAATTTTAGGACAAAAGAAGTAAAAAATTTCAAAATCTCGATGCCAATTATGTGTATGGAACAAAAATAATATTTCATACACTTGTTGTATGAAGTATAGAATTTTATAGAATAATTAGACTAGAATGAAAAGGAAAAAAATTTTAGGAGAAAATAAAATTTGAGACCATCTTGAGTGTACCCGGTACCACCATGATCCCCTTCTTATTTTTTGCATTATTAGTCCTTATTGAACATTTTCTAAATAACTTTCTATATTTTGCAAATTTAATCCCTGTTATTTTTTTTACTCTCTCCTCTAAAAAAAATATCTCTAATCTTTAAATGAGTATAACTCATGATCCGTGAAGAATTTGTGAATGAATAATATATGAAATTTATAATACTCGTCGAAATCTATCCAACGAGATCCATACGGAATATTTTTTTTGAACTTAAAAATGATTAAATTCTGATGGGCAGAAATAAGGTTGATATCCAGTTTAAGAAGATGGATAACCAACTTATTTCACATTGATATTGTTCTGTTGGATAGTCGGTACTAAGACGGAGGGTAAGCACTAGGAAACCGTTGGATAGGCGGCCCGATTCAAATTCACTCTCACTTTTTTCGCTGATGAAAATAGGTACATTCGGAAGCGTTGGATAAACATTACAAAAGCAATGAATAGCCGCCGCGATTTAGAGAAGCAGTAAAATGATTAGATAAGCAGTACAAACTGGTTAGATAATCAGTGTAAAAAATATGGATAAGGATATCCAAGAAAAATATAAAAGAAAAAAAAAGTTGGAGAAGCAGTGGAAACCGGTCGGTTGGATAATCGGTATGAAAACATTGGAAAATTATTTGGAAAAAAAATAAAATAAAATAAATGATTGGACAAACAGTACAAATCCTGTTTGGATAAGCGGTGAAAATAATTAGATAACCAATACAAAATGGTTAGATATTCAGTGCAAAAGGCTGGACAAGGACTTTCACAAAATGTAGAGAAAAAAATAGTTGGATAATCAGTACCAAGTTGTTGGATATCTATCAGTTCATTCCTAATTATCCGAAAGCTTTATACTGCTTATCCATATATTTTAACTGCCTACCTAGCCAATGATTATTTCTTACCCACCATAACTGTGGACTTCAAATTTTAACAAAACTCTGTCAATATCTTAATAACAAATATTAAACCAATGGAGATTAAATTAAATTTGATTTCTGAAAATCCAATCATGTTATTAATGGTGGGTGGGGGTGGTTATTGCTGATAATTCAAAAATGATTAGACAAGTAGTACAAACTTATTTGGACAATTAGTAAAAATAATTGGACAATCAATACAAAACGATTAGATAATCAGTATAAACACATTGGACAAGCAGTAAAAATAATTGGATAAGTAGTACTAACTGGTTGGATGATCTGTATAAAAAATTAGACAATTATGTTTACAAAAAAAAAGAAAAAAAAAGGTTGGATAATGATTACAAAGAAGTTGGATAATGAGGATGAACATATTAAACAAATATTTTCTCAAAAGAAAAAGGAAAAAAAAAAAGGACATTAGACAAACCTTACAGACCATGTTTGGATAAACAGTAAAAATGATTGGATAACCAATACAAAACGGCTGGATAGTCAGTACAAAAAACTGGACTAGGATTTTTATTAAAAAAAAATGGCTGGATAAGCAGTACCAATCAGTTGGATAATCATTATAAACACGTTGGACAACCATTTTTTTGAAAAAGAAAAAGAAAAACTATGTTGAATAAACAGTACCTAGCGGTTGGATAATCAGTAGAAATATATTGGATAACTATTTTCATAATTAATGAGAAATAAAAAAAAAAGTTGGATAAGCAGTGCTAAGCATTTGGATGATCACCATAAACATATTGTACAACTATTTTCTCTAAGAAAAAAAAATATATGATCCGACAAGTAGTACAAATTTGTTTGGAAATCAGTAAAAATGATTGGATAAGTAATATAAAATGATTGGATAATTAGTAAAAAGAAAAAATTGGACAAGTATTTTCATTAAAAAAAAGGAACAAAAAATGACTGGGTAACCAATATCAAGCATTTAGATAATCACCACGAAAACAACCATTTTCTAAAATTAAAAATGAATGGATAAGCAGTACAAAAAAATGGATAATCTGCTCAACCCGGTTGGATAATCAGAATGAACGCAATGGATAAGTGACACATTTCTTCATTTCTGCCCATCAAAATTTAGTCCATTTTAAGTTCAAAAAAAATATTCAATATGTATCTTGTTTGATAGATCTCGATGAGTACTATGAATTTCATATATAATTCATTTTCTCAGTATGAACATACAAATAATTGGACAATTATGTTTATAAAGAAAAAGAAAAAGAAAAGGTTGGATAACGATTATAAAAAAGTTGGATAATCAGTATGAACATATTAATCAAATATTTTCTCAAAAGAAAAAGAAAAAAAACATTAGACAAACCTTACAAACCATGTTTGGATAAACATTAAAAATGATTGGATAACCAATACGAAATGGCTGGATAGTCAGTACAAAAAACTGGACTACGATTTTTATAAAAAAGAAAGAAAAAATGGCTGGATAAGCAGTACCAATCAGTTGGATAATCACTATGAACACGGTGGACAACTATTTTTTCGAAAAAGAAAAAGAAAACTATGTTGAATAAACAGTACCTAGTGGTTGGATAATCAATAGAAATATATTGGATAAGTATTTTTATAAAGAATGAAATAAAAAAAATAGTTGGATAAGCAGTGCCAAGCATTCAGATGATCACTATAAACATATTGTACAACTATTTCTCTAAGAAAAAAAAGGGGAAAAAAAATGATTGGACAAGTAATACAAATCTGTTTAGAAAATCAGTAAAAATAATTGAATAAGTAATACAAAATGATTGGATAATTAGTAAAAAAAAAAATTGGACAAGGATTTTCACTAAAACAAAAGGAAAAAAATGACTAGATAACCAATACCAAGCAGTTGGATAATCACCGCGAAAACAACCACTTTTTAAAATTAAAAATGAATGGATAAGCAGTACAAAAAAATGGATAATCTGCTTAAACCGGTTGGATAATCATAATAAATGCAATGGATAAGTGACATATTCCTTCATTTCTGCCCATAAAATTTAAATGCGTTTAAAGTTTGAAAAAAATATTCGATATGGATCTTGTTAAATAGATCACATCGACTACTATAATTTTCATATACAATTCGTTTAAAAATTCTTCACAGATCATGAAATATGTGCAATATAAGAATATCCATATAAAATAAGTTGGTTATCCATATTTTTAAACTATATATCCATCCAAATAACATACAAATTTCCTTCATTTCAGCCCATCAAAATTTAATCATTTTTAAGTTCGAAAAAAATATTCAATATGGATCTTGTTGGATAGATCTCGATGAGTACTATGAATTTCATATATAATTCGTTTTCTAATTATTCACGGATTGGGAGATATGCTCATTTGAACATTATAGATATTTTATGAGGAGAGAAAAAAAAGTGACAGGATTAAACTTGCAAAACATAAAAAATTTTAGGAAAAAATACAATAAGAATCATATGTGCAAAAAATAGAAGGGGACCATGGTTGTTCCGAGTGCACCTAGAATTTGCCATAAAATTTGTACTGGAAAATACTAAGACAAACTTTAGAGAACACTCCAACTACTAATTCTAGAAGAAGACATGGAAATCAAGCAAACACCAGGCGAGGGGCAGACGGGGGGGGGGGCGACTATGATGCAACGGGCTGTGGCTGCACAATATCTATTAGGCAGCTAAGCTCAGAAGAACAAAACAAACAAACCTCTCTGCTTTTAGTGGCGGCCTGACGAGCTCCGTGTACGCGGCGGCACAGCAGCTGAAATTTTCAATTCTCCGATTAGTAACGAAACTAATAGTACACATCGTAAACGACCCAAGCATCCCAGCTGCAAGGGCAGCGCTGTCCCGATCCAAAGCTTTCCAGATTTTACGCCCTAAGTTTCTCCTGAACCAAAACCAAATTAAAAAAAAATTAATTTCTTTTTATTCAGATCTACCATGCATGTATAGATCTTATAATAAGGACGGAATACATCATCATCATTGAATCAATTTCGGAGGAAAAAAATAATTATTTCATTCGTCCCAAAATTATTGTTCACTTTTAATTTTGGGACAGAGTGAGTATAAGATACAAATCAGAGAGGCGCACACATAATTTATGGAATCGTTGACAACAGAGTGCATGTAGAGAAGTCTTTGGAAACAACCAGTACAACAAAAATAGGCTATTAATACCTTTATAGTGGGACACTTTTTCTAAAATGTGTCTCATTATATGTGTATAAGGACATTTGCTAAAAAGTGTCTTATTAAAAATGAAAAAGTGTATGCATATTATGAAACACTATCACAAGTGTACTATATGGGGTTGCTTGTGAACTATTACCCTACTTAATGGGTCACTTTAAAGTGTCTTAATAAGTGACAATCTAATAATACACTTTCAAATGTTTTATGACTTATTGTGACTCGATTATAGGAGACACTATTTAATAGTGTTCCACACAATGTGAATCACATGTGTCCTATTACACCACTTATTGAGACACAAAAAAGTGTCTAAATTACTCATTTTTGTTGTAGTGAACATAGGTTTTATAGGCCACAAAATAAATAAATGAAATACGAGTCCATATTTTGTTTTAAAGTTTATATTCTTTTGTCCAAAGATTATTGTCCGGTTTAAATTTTTAATTTTACTACAATTTGAATTAAAAATAAAAATAAAAACTGAACAATTATTTCG